AAATGGTTAATACGTCTAGTGTAAAAGGCAAAAGGTTCCATGGATCCATGTGCAATAACTAAAACATCAACAACAACAAAAACAAAAATTACAACTACAGAAATAATTACAGAACAAAAATGATGAACTGCCTTTAATAAATACTATGGTTGTCCTAATAACATAATAGTGAAAACACACAAGCTATGGAAGATTTTACCGAAACCATTTGGAAACGAGTACGAAGACAATTTAGGTAAAAACGTATTATTAAATCTTCATATTTCATCAATTTGCATTATTTGAAGTGTATATCGAAATGTACGTATAAGTGATTACCATTGTGGCAGTATGTATTGATTCGTTTATTTATTTGATACGAACTTTAATTTTAGATAATAATAATAATAATAATAATTGGATAAAACGCTGACGCAATCACTAGACGACGCTAGATATCATTGTAATATGTTTTCTAAGTAATTTTTGCTGTGTTGTTTAATCTGTTTTGTTATAAGCATTAATATCCGCGTTAATGCTTTGTACAGATTAGATCACAGAATTCAAATGCAAAATATAATTATATATTATTCGGCGCAGTATATCTGCAATAACAATGCATGTACGTGTAGGGTGCGCGAATTGACGTAGAAGTTATCTATCGTGGTAGGATCTGGTATAAATCCTAATGAGGACAAAAAATAATTGGGCTTATTTGAAAGATGAAATGGTACAACTAAGTATAAAGTAATTACGATGGAATATCGAAACAAAACTTAAATATTCTAATTTATTTCATGATTTTCACATACTTTGATATAATTTTCAAATAAAACGTGGAATAAAATATCTAAACAATATCAAAGATGAAAAAACGTGTTCTCATCTATCATTTTTTGTACCAGTTGTTTAGAATGTTTCACCCTAATTGATTGTATTGAGAGATAAAAAATATTTCCCAATGGACAGTGACCTAACATGTAAATACTATCTAAAATAACTGTCAAGTTTAAAAAATGGTGAAATGAAAGTGCTTTCTCGAAGGGAGGATGAGCAAAGTTAGTAAAAGTCTGCTTAGATGTTATTTTAAATCGCTCAGGAAGAATTTTAAAGGATTGGGCTGTCCAAAAAATATAAAAAATATTCGCTAAAAAAACTGTATACATTTAGCTTTGATCGTGTGCACCCCTATAAAAAATATCTTGCTGATCCATTTTCTACAAATTACATTTTTTGTCGTTCAAAATAGCTGTCAATAGGTAAAAAACCTTTATTGTTTTAAACATTGAAATTTTATTGGCCATCGGATGCATATAATAAGAATAAAATGCTTTGTACTATATATCCAAACTATATACTCGTAGATGGTATTAAATTATTCGTAGCTAAAGACTTTGAATCTCTTCACGAAAATTGTTCTATATACACCATTCTTACAAAACAAGTTTTCTAGCAGTTCGATTGTTACGTCGATTTGTGATAACATTATTCGTTGATTTTACTAAGAAATATAATTCCGTATAGCTATATAATAATATAATAATATTAATATATAATATATAATAATAATATATAATATATAATATATAATATAAATAAATAAATATATAATATAAATTATATATAATATATAATATATATATATATAATATATAATAATATTCCAAAAGGGAAAAAATAATAATTTTTTCCCTTTTGGAATATTTTAACAACACAATCGAATTCATTTTTTTTTTACACCTCCATTCTAAGACTATCAGCAGATATTAAATCGCCTTTAAAGCATTTCAGTTATTAATATTATCTTTGTAATCGTAACTTAATATCTATTATTGCGTATACTGCTACCATTTATATAAACTGTCGTTTTTGCACGCACCCGTTAAGTTTATTATGATATATTTTTATCACTACCGTAATCGTAGGGCTGTGATTGTCACTTTTGTATGGAATTTGATTACATCAATAAAATATTCATTTATTTTATTTACTTCTATGTGTTCGAATTGAATTCTTATGCTTCAGTTAAATATTTTTTTACATCAAATCCATTATATCCATTATATCAGGGGTTTCCAAAATATGAGGCGTGCCTCCCTAGAGAAGTGCAAGGAAATTATAGCAATTTATTTAAATTTAAATAATGAAAAATGTTGTTTTATTGGGAGGCGTGATTAGTTTTCATTTTGTTTTGGCAAAGCGTGACCAAAAAAAGTTTGGCAACCGTTACATTATATGATTTTATAACGTAAAATTGTTTTTATTCTGTACATAAATATTTTTATTGGTGAGTCGTAAAATATGGTCGCCATTGCGGTTTTAGATTACCTGCATGCAGTGTTGTTGGAATTATTGAATACATTTTTTTTTTGATTCATAAAATCAAACTATTTATTATTATTTATTTGTTTCCCATGTAGCATCTATAGAATTGCTCTCGATTGCTACTTTATTTCAGTACTTTTTGCATTTAGAATTACGTACATATACGTTGGAATATATCGTAAAATAGTATATTATATATTTACGGATATACACCAGGAGGCTATAGAATCATCCCCCTTAATTACTTAAAATATTTTGATATTGAAACAATTAATCTAATGTAATAATATAGACAGTTATTTTTTTTAACATTTTATCAATCGATTGATTTTTGAACTTCAAACAACATTCAATGAAAATCTTAGTAAAATAATTTTTGCTATTAAACTATTATAATAAATATGATATAATCATATATGATATATGCATATATGTATGTATATTATTTAACACATAATTTTTAACTTAATGTATTTTTTTTCAACATGTATTTGAAGTAAAATGTTTCGTCTAGCTCCTCTCCCTATCTACATCCATGTCTGTTTACATTCGAGTACTTTTTGATTAGAACGTTTGATCAATGTCCTAAATCATGTTTTCCAAAAGCGTTTCAACATAACGCAGGCATACAGTAATATCGCGAAGTAGAAAGGTGGAAAAATATTAAAAGGCAAAAGCGGAAAAACGTATCGGCTTGTCGCGCGGGTGCACGTTACGTACCGCGGAAGGGTTGTTCAAACACCCGTCAAAGCGTCGCGAACCCCGAACGAAATATCAAACGTACGGACCGCGTGCATAGTAAATTTCACGACTAGGTCGTAGCTCAAAGGTGGTTGTCCAAAGGTCGTTGCCGTCGAAAACGAGGAAAAAGACCGTTCGACAAACGATAAGCCGTCGTGTAGACCACCGTCACCGTCAGGTTTTTATTGATCATCGTCGTGGTGGCGGCTAGTGGTAGTGGCGGGGGCGCACATAGCGTGCGTTTTACTTATTAACTGTTGAGTGCTGTGCACGGCGCACACGTGAATTATGATATATAATATGGACGCGTGGGGGGGGGGGGGCGCTTTTGCGATACGATGAAATGCAGCGCATTCCGGTTCGCCACGTCAGGTATTAAGTTTTAATGGCGTTTCGGATCCGGGGAGCGAAATCACGTTTTACCGTTCCGGTTCTGGGAAAAATCGACCAAGTCTGATTGCACAATCTTTTTTTCATCCACTCTTTATAAAGAAATACTGAGGAGCACTTGCCCTTTTATTGCTTACATAATACACCGTACAAATAGATGGAAATCGATGATTACCAAAATAAAGTTTTTTAAGAGAAAAAAAAAGGTTTTACATGGTATTTTCGATAAACATATCACGGTTGGTCGTTACAAAGCTGGTGTTATCAATGGTACCGTAGGAAGAAGTCGGAACTGTTAAAAAAAAAAATACAATTTTTCTTTTAATTAAAAACAAACGTTTATCGCTTAGATTTCAAAATATTCATTGAAGGAAAATGAAAGTGTTGTACGAAGATATTTTTTCACAGCACGCTTACAACGGTGTTATTATATAATACCATAAAAGCGGTATTTTGAAATCATCGTAAGACGAATTAAGTTAATTATTTATTAATTTTATTGAAAAAAAAAACAAGTTTATTTTTATATCTACTTCCATTAAACAGACAGTTACATATTACAAATTTAAACTGTACAGTAAACAAATATAGTTACATTAATTATGAATTCTGTTATAATACCAAAACACTATTATTTTTAACATACCGGTATTTTATTAAACTGAAAAAAGTATTTAAAGAAACACGGTTAATAAAATTGAAAAAAATAAAAAGTTTAAACATCAAAATTTTCATTAGAATAAACCATGTGTTATGGCTAACATCAAATTTTTTGAAAAATATATGATACATTTGATTTTATCCATTCTTAATTTTATTTTTATTCATTCTGCATATTTTCTGTTCTCCTTTTGTTAATTTCTGATTTGCATATATTTCTAATTGTATATCAATATTGTATTAATAATCTGCAGTTCTTGCGGATGTTACACGAAAAAGAAACATAATTCGATCATCTTCATTGTCCCAGGAGACATCATCGTGTGACATTGTACACTATATCAATCTCTGCAGCTGACGCATATATATGGGATTGATTTCATGTGTAAACAGTTTGAAAATTGAGTCTTAAGGTAACTTTACCTAACACAATACAAACAGTACGTAGTCGAAGAGCATAAGTAAGGTACAAATCGTATTGTAGTCAACCATGCCCAATACAAGTGCGCTAAACACGCATACGAATCGGTGACCGCGCGCGAAAGGAAGTAGCCGTACAGCAATGAAAACAATCGTAAACTCAATTGATTCGGTGCGTTTACCGATCGAATTCCGAGCAATGTTTACTCGATCAGTACGATTGCTGCAGAGATCGAATCGCTCAGTTTTTAAAAAACCAAAATTCAGGTAAGATAGCGGTGCCCGAACACGTGAACACTTCTTGTCGCCGATCGCTGCGGAGAAAGAGCGCGAAAGGAAGCGGCCAGTAAAAAAAAAAAAAAAAAATAATAATAATAAACAACGAAAATAAATAAAAACCGATCGCGTAATATCGCAAACGCAGATTGAAGTGCACACCGAGTGACGGGTAGCGCGCGCTTTGGCGGAACCGTCGCGTGGTGTACGCCGGCGTGGCAGTCGCACGCCATGTCCACGTACGCGAACACCGACGCGGCCACCGCCGATTTCAGTGCCGCCGAAGCCACCGGACTGTTTTGAGCGTCGCCGCCGACTCACGCGCACGCGTGGACCGCAACAATAGCATTATTATGAAATGCTCTCGGCCAACGGCATCACGTCATTCGTCACCGTTCTGATCTGCACGCTGTGCTGCATAGCCGACGCCAGTAAGTTCTTTTTACGCCGTTCCACTGTTTTACAACCGAAAGATCGCATTTTTTTGTTTTTTATTGACATCCGGTTGATTACGTACGTTTCATATGGCCGTGCCGTTGGAAAAACGGGTGAAACCCTTTGCGTGGTGTTCGAAAGCGAAATAAGAAAACCATCGGAAATTCACTAGTGTTCGACGGTTTTTTATTTTACTCTTCTACTCAATCATATACTTCCGCATGGACAGTTACGGTTTCCGAAAAAATCGATTCGTACTAAAATTTATGTTCGCGGAAGCGTCAACGACGTTCGGTTGTACGTTCATTGTCGGTGCGTATAGTCGATACCAGCCGTCGTATTATTATCATCGTCAGGCAGCGATGGCTATTGTCCACCGGACGATCGCCAAAGAATGATAATATTTAAATTAAGTTGGCGTACAGCTGTTCTGCAACGTAACGTGTAGATCGTGTACCCGTTGATTTTCACCTTACCAAAAAATACAAAACCGTTATTCGGTTAAAAACGAATGCCGTTGCATATTCTGCTTGGTGGCTATTTGAATTTGATTTCGTATTATTTTCATTATCTCGCGTGATTAATATCAAGATGATATTTATCTATTTTACAACCTGCGAGCGGAAAAATTTCAAACACGGTCAAATAATGTACGTTCATACCTGAGCAGTGCTACAAGACAAACTCGCTACGAACGTGATTTTCATAGGGAAATCGGCACGAGTTGTTGTCTTCGACTTCACAACCATTTCGATAATAATTCGTTGTTATAATCATTTTTCCATTCATTACCATGTTGTTTTTTTGTTTGATTTTTGCGATCGTCGTCAACGGGAATCGCTTGGATTTTCGTTGGATACTACGATTCTGGAATTCTGGTATCCGCTTCACTTTAACAAATTTTGAGCGGCACGAACTAATCATAATTTGAAAATCGGACATTCCGAGATCCAAAATGTTTGCAAAATTTAAAGTCAAAATTATATTTTATTAGTCTTACATATTTTAACTATTTAATATCATTGAAAACGTATGCGGCCGTAAGTAATTTTTGAATTAATATTTGGCCTTTTCTATAATCCTTGTGAGGACCACTGTCCTCATACGCTCCACGGGGTTTTTCCGACTAACAAAAATCTTGTACTCGCTCTTACATGTCGTACTTGTATAAGGTTAACCCGTCAATCAGTTTGTAGAACTACTTATTTTCGAACAAGACGTTAGAGTTGCGCTCTTGCCAGTACGCAATTATGATCGTTGCCAAAACTTTACCCCGTCTGTAAATCGGATAGGTGCTATGTAGACACTTTATGTGAACGCCAATATATAACGAGTTTAAAATTTATTCTTGTTTGTCTGTTTAAACAATAGACTTTAAAGATCTTAAATAAAAATAGAAGAAACATCCATTAAGGAGACTCAACAACAGAAATAATAATAGATTTGTCGCTGACGTTTATTCGTTTACATTTTGCATTGAATGGCAATCCATTAATTCCATAATTAAAACAATATACATATTTCTTACAGGTTTATTGTATTTATAAATCGTACCACGTAAATGAATTACAATTTTGGTTTAGAACGTAAAAAATATTACATATAATTTGCGTACACGAATAACAAGAAAACGTGGTAATGCTTTTATGAGCTCATTACTATTGTTCAAAATATTTACAAACTGCTTCATAAAAATTTTCCATTTAACAACGTACAACACAGCTTTAAGTTTAATAAAGTTTCCGTCCAAGTGTACCTAGTGAATTTTTCTTAGAACTTTTGATAGTTTTATTAAACTATTATTAAAATTGTATTAATTTTTTTTTTTTATAATTTTCAAACATAATCTGGTAATTTCGTGTCCACTCTCTCGATCCATATTTTTCCATATATATTTCCTATAACAATTTAGTACATATAAATATTATATTGATTGATAAATACGATTTAGTACAGGTAGCATATTACCGCATCACTATCCTACCTCAAATAAAAATAAAATGTATTATTGGCTTGATAAAATAATGATTGAACGGACGTATAGGTAAATAGAGTTTTGAGATTAAATGATTGATATCAATATGAATGATGCATGTGATTCGTATATATATTGAAAACATCATTTTCGGATGTTTGGATTTTTCCGTAGGACTTTTCCGACTAATTGCGCATTACAACTGTAACACCAGTTCGGCTTCGTATTATATATATATAAATGTTTACAACCTTATTTAATTTGCACACAGCATTGGATAGATTGTATATCCAAAATATACAGTATAATGTTTAATGCGGACTTGTTTAAAAAACGTGGGAAAAACTTCATATTTATTGAACACGAGTATTAAAACAATCGTTATTGTGAAAGCGTAAAATAATTTTATGCACTTAAAAATAAATTTTTCCTAAAACTCGCCTTAGAACTGCAATGGTTGTATTATAGTTTTGTGAGTACAAAGATTGAGCGGAGCATTTCATTCGAACCAAAAATAAAACCAAATGTTTATGTTACAATAACATTTAAACGTGTAGGCCAAACGGCAGATACGTACGTGAATGTATTCATTATTTACAACGGAGATGTAAGGTTCACCACGGATCATTTGGTTTCACTTAGAAGTTACTAATATATTTATAAATATTTTCCGATGTTCACGAAAATCTAGTTAAAAAAAAACTCATTTTGTAAACAGAAAGTAAATTTTCGTTATTTGTATATAACTAAAAAATGACGCGATAAATATTATATTTTATACTCTATAAAATGTTAATGCGTGCTTAATGATTTTTTCACGAAAAAACTAATAAAAAAAATGGTAAGGTTACGGAAAAAACATGAAATCATGTAGTAAAATCTATATAATATAAAATATAAATGTCTTTAAATATATATTTTGCTAAAAGTAGAACATTTTTTAACATAAATTTGACATTTTAATGTACAATAATCTTAGTTGAAACTTATAAGTATAAACTTAAAAATTTACCGACACTTATTTTTGCGAGGGTACTTACGTGGATAAAATAATTTTAGAATGAGTTTTTATAATTGTTTGTACAAATCTAATAAAAATATTTGCAAATATATATATTTTTATTTTTCTATACACCAAAGAAATCAAAGAGTAGAGTTTATAATTTAAAAAGTCTTACCTCCGAGTGGTTGTTGAGATTTAACTTTTAATTAATTTACATTATTTTATATTCAAAAAGAATATAAAATATTTTAATCTTACAAATAATTATAATTTTTATTTTTATATATATTATAATTTTCAAAACAAATTTAATTAATAAATAAATATTTCATATTATATGTATATATAAAATAGGATATATATATATATATATATACGAGTATATGTATAAGGTAATATATTTTGCACATCAAAAAGGTACGTATAGAAAGTTATGCATAATAGTTTTTCATACAAATGAATTGTTCGCTATGTTGTATTAAAAGAAAATGGTCATGTATTGCATTTTGTTTTCGCTTTAAGTCACAGCTGGGTTAGTACGAAATATAACTACGTCTTTTATCCACGACAGAAATATTTTTATTATTATAATGAAATTCTACTTTGACGGTACATATAATGCCAATCAAGTTTGTTTCTATGTATATGAAAATATCGACCGAAAAAGTTAGTATAGGTATGCGTGACTGTGTCTGGAAATGAGAAAAACATGTTTAGAATAAACCCAAGTTTGTTAGAGGTAAATTTCCGTTCTCAATAGTATTAATGATAATGTAACTGAAGGCTGTAAAACAAGGGTCAGTAACCAGCGGCAATTTAGTTATAGCAATCAGTGGTTTTTTGGGAAATTTCTCAAGATATTTTTTATTGTATTATATACAATTAGAGCAATAGTAAATATATTAACATTTTTTTCCATAATCCACTTTTTATAATATTATTTGCCAAGTCTTATTAAATCGAATAGTTTATATTTTCACAACTCGCCAACTACCGAACAGAAACTTGGATTAAATTTTATAAGTGAGAGGAGGAAAGATAAGGGGGTGATTTTGTAATTTTTTAGAAAAAAAGTCTGTTTCTTACGAAAAGGTTATTGACCGCTGTTACGGAGTAAAGTCACACAATATTTGAATTATTCCATTGGTACACGATAATATTACATATAGGGTAACTGATGGTCTACATTTGGTTTTTGACGGAAAGTAAAACTACTCGCCCGTTTTTTAACTTCACATCGATTTCATCAATTGATTAAGTCAAGTATTCTCGAACGGATGAAATCAAATTACGTGTTTAAACTTCGATTTTGGAATATTATTACATACAAATAAATGCAGTTGACGGGGAGGGAAGAACACTGGTAGCCCACCAATAATATTTAACCAACGTTCCTTGCTTGTTTGTTTCAGATGCCGGTATCGATTGCTTCAAGTGTGTTTCACTAGAATGGCAGAACCGTGCATGTGATGACCCGTTCCACAATAATTTCAGCTCAGGACTTTTAGAGTCACCGTGCATGGGTGGACGGAAAGGTCGCAATGGTCTATTTCCAGCTACCGCATGCATTAAGCTAACCGGTTACTACCGTAAGTCGTGTATACAGATATACTTAGTAATTTTTAAACTATACTCAACCCGCTTTATTTAACACTAAAATAATGAATTCTGTAAAATTCAGATTTCTGAAAAATACTAAATATCAACTTTTGTTTTTCAAATGGGTACATCATTTTTTTTATACACACTATTATATTCAGTTAACTTGTCCGGGAACTATTTGTGTATCATGTAGCAATTATTTGGACCAATACGTTCGAAATCATTCAAATTTAAAATTGTATAAAAAAATTATATATTTAAAATAATCATATTTCTATTTTTGCTTCAAGAGCGTGCAATTATAACAAAATGTCAAACGGTTGGTGCGATAATTGATTATAAAAATAATGGGAATTGTACTCAATCCTCTCATTTTAATTTAAATAACTCAGAAGTCTTGATTCAAATATTTATTGTTAGTAATAATGGTTGTAAAAAAATTCCAGAAAAATTAATTGAATTAATTTAAGAAAAAAAATATGATCAAATTTGAAAAAAAAATGTTTATAATGCCACAGGAACTCTTTAAGAGGTAAAAAATATTTGTATATTGGGGTTTTCAGTTATTTTGTATATATACATTTTCCAAATTCATAATTCAAAATACACACATTAAGCTTAAAAAGTATAAGTACTTAAGAAATTACCCTGAATATTTGACTTACAATAACAATAGTTATTAAAGTATATAAATACAATAAGTAATGTAATAAGATAAACGGTTTTAAATAAAATATATTTTATCTTACGGATGACGTAGCTTTAGATTTTCTATTTTATCTTAACCCTTACAGACTTAGAATACTCTGTAGTGTACTAAAAATATAATCAATTATAACTAAAGACCTATTTGTGTTTTCGCGTCATAATAATTGTTTCTGAATAAAAAAACACGTTTATTTTAAAGAGATAAAAGGTAATAGTTATGTATTTATGTGTTTACTCATTTTATAACCAGTTATCAAAAAAAATCCTAAATTGAAAAATTAATATTAGGTTTTTAAATTTTAGTTTTGTCTTACTCTATCTACATGATTTATAGGCCATTTTTTTCTTAGGAGTAAAGTTGGTATTAAATGTTAATAAATGTATTAAACCTCTTTGTAATGGCTGTTTTTTGCTTTATATTCGAAAACATATAAGTACACTATAGTGTACTCTAGGTCTTTGTATCATGTTCACGGTCTGTTCTACAATCTTTGCACGGCCGAGCTTCTTGCTGATTAATTATTATGATAATTGAAAATTTACCGATATTGAAACAAATTCTAAATATTTATATACACAATCAGGTGCAGATACAATTAAGGACTTATGGGAGCTGATGCCCCCCTCTTAGACATTAAGTAAACCATATCGAACTTAGGTACTTAAAATATTTAAAAAATTAGACGTAAAAAAACTTCGTACAAATCGACATGCATGACGAATTATTTCAATAATTAGTTTTACTGGTCTCCCAATTTTAATTTCTAGATCCACGCCTGTACACAAATCACTTTACAGCGAAATAAAATTTTTACACATTAAATGGTTCATAATTTTTTACGTTTTCTATTATTATTTCACCAGTTATTTGTAAATAAAATTTTTATCTATACAATATTTATCACTTTTATGTAGAAAATGCTTCGTGAGGATGATATATTAGCTTTATTATGTGATGAAAATGTATCAGATATTGGTGAACTAGACAGTGGTGACGAATCTGAAGACATATTTCCTGAAGTAGAATTTACTAAATTTTTAAATGAATTTAAAAATGACTATGGTAATTTTTAAAATTATATATTGCTGGTAAGACTTATAACTTATAAACTACTTATATAAGTGTGTTGCGTGATCATTTAATATATATATATATATATATATCTTGCAATTTAAATAAAATTACAACGTTTTCCGATCAAATTGAAAGATGAAAACATCAAACGTATCACTTTGACATATTTAAAATTAAATTATTATTTATTTAAAATATTTTTCACTGTGTAAAAGGAGCAAAATTTTCATTTTATTTTTTTATTTTAACTATTTTCATTTCATATTGTTAGTGTTGATTTGTATTGCTTGGTATTTGCGCCTGGTTGATGGTATTAGTTATGCTAGTAAATTGTATATGCTTGTTAGCAGTAACGAATACTAGTGTATGCAGGAGAGGCCACGAGCAGGCTACCATCATCTCCCCCAAACAATACACCATATTGTGGAAAATTGCTCGAAAAGGAGGTTCAATCGGGGCATTGAGGGAATCCATGTAGCAAATAACGAAGCATTATAATAGATTCGAAAACTAGACATTGCCTTATGACTATGGATTATATCTGTAAACCATGACCATGTACTCTTACTTTTATTATTTATTTAATTATTTACAGTTTTTATATTTTTATTTTTATTTGTAGTTATTTTATTTTATTTTATACTTACTTTATAATTTATATTCAATTTATATTGTGGCCTTAATTGTGTTGATTTGAATATCAGCTTTACGAAATAAAAAAAAAATTACATATTAAATTTACCTTTTTTCAGCTGATTTCAAGATTTTTTTAACTCGATATCATTTAAGTCTCAGAATTGCTATACGGTCATTAAGGAAAAATACTAATACATAACCTTCATTGACCTCGATTTAAACACACTACTAGTGTATCATTGCTAGTTTTCACCGAATTATATTTTTAACGCTTAATTTTTCCGCAGAGTATAACATAAAATAAATTGATAAACAAATATTTTTTTTTTTATTTAAAATTGAATTATATTAAACTTGATACAAAAGAGACATCATTTTATCTCATAGTAAAAAATATTGTATAGATTCGTAAATGTACTCGTAATATGAAGTGGTGTAAAATTATTGGTAAAAGTATATTCTTAGGACCACTTTACGTTTATTTTTATTCTACGTTTTATCTAATAATTAAACTTTAAAATATTTTCATCAGTTTAATGTTTAACTTGATTATACCGGTTGATTATATTGAAAGGAAAATAACTATTTTAGTAAAATGTGTAATTGTTTTCATAAATCATATACATGAGTTCAATATTTATTTACTTAAATTATGAATAAGTTGAAATAAATTTACAAGCCCTGTACAGTTATTTTCTTGGAGCGTATGACCTACAAAAATATAAATAATATCCTCCTGTAATGCAATCACCATAATTTAGCATCAACAATGAAATTATAACGCCTTCTCCATTAAATAATACGAAAATTTGTCGATAATTTTATCCGGAGCATCTTGGAAATTTGAAATTTCATACTTGTAAAGTTTTTGGAATAATATCAACTGTATTTTATTCTGACATTGCACAACGCAATAAACCAAAATTAGTTAAAATTACGAATATCTGAGGATGTATTTTTTTATATCAAATCGTCTTCAAGTAAAAATTTACTTTTTATTTTTTTAGAATCTACTGGACAACACGTTACGGTCAGAGGATGTGCTTTGGATAGCGGTACTTTGACCACAGATACCGAAATCATTCGGATGTCCCACTGCGGAGGATTCTATTTCGATGATAAGTAAGTTGTGCTATAGATAAGTCTGTGACCGTAGTAGTCGGTATTTGGTTGTGCGCTACTTATTTTTCATCCGAATATTTGTAATATTAAATATACAAAATAACATTTTATATTAATTTTTCGATTAAGCACGTTTCTATACTTCGGAAAAAGAAAAAAAAATTAATTTTATTCGTTTCGCATCGCAATACCGGAATAACGATATAATGAAAAAAAAAACAGATGTTCAGTTCTATTACTATATACATATTGTTCGTGTAATAATCCTACTATGGTCTTATACCTTGAATATCTACCCCTAATACTACTTATAGTAACGGATCGAAAATTTAATCGTATTTTTTTGAAAAATCGATGTTATCCTTGATAATTTCAAAAGACCGTCTATTGAGAGTGACACAAATAGTTACAACTGACCCTGCTCGATATAGAAGTTTTCGAAAACAGATCACACTACTGCACGGATATCGGATTTAATTGTTCGGTTATTGCGGTATTTTCCGTAGATACGTGGAAGGCTGCCTGCAAAGCTGTGACGATGCCGACGGGTGCAATCCGGGATCGCCAACCACGTCTCTGAACTTTACGCTGCTGATGGTGTTAGTCGCGATACCGCTTGTCGTCGGGTTATTGTCACAAGAATTACTCAACGTATGACGTGATCTATTGTTGTTATAATTATTAATCATTATAACTATTACCACTGTTATCATTACTGTTATTGTCATCATCATTATTGTCATCACTATGTATAATAATGCAATGCCCATCATCCGTTTGACGTCATTCGGGCCCGTTGTCACACATAATATTTTAAGACCAAGCCCGGGCAAACTTCACGTGACTACGATCAATTAAATGGAGTGCCTTATGATAATATGATGTCACAAACGTCGAATTTTACGTTTAGGTATTTTTTTTTTACTTGAAAAACCACCCACACCCAACGGCCCTAATTATGTACGTATAAAAACATGTGTATACTGCCTCCCTTGAATAATTTGTAAGAAAGTGGACGTTAAGCGTTTGTTTATATAAACTCGAAATGTGTACTTCTCGCATGAATGTTAATCAATTATTCATTAGTCTATTGTGTAACATGACATATCCCAGTTGAGCATATCTTACTGATGAAACTATATTTCCATTTTAACTATAATAAAGTAGATTTACAATTATATAAAATAAATTATTTAATATTGTTTTATTGAATATACATATAATATATTATATATAATATATAGTACACACAAAAACTAAGTATATTACAGTCTTGTTTTTTTTTTTTCAATGATATTCAATTCCCAATCACAGGTTATTGATTTTCGTATTATGTGTGTGAAAGTATATACATTATAAATTATCTACTTTGCAAATACAAAATTGAGAAGTGTTACTCGAAATTACAAGTATTCTTTTCACTTGGAAAAATTTTAACTAAGAAACAATAACCACAAAATCCAATATCCTAAAAAAACATACCATCAATCTTTATTATTTATCGTGATACCATACTATAATAATTATACAGTTCGTTTCGTGTGACGGCATTGCGTGCGCGTCGAAGGGGTGTAGCTAAACATCTGAATAGATTTTTTCAACATTATACCTCGGTATAAATACTCGAGGGTTAAAAATTGAGGTCAAAACCGTTATTATAGTTTTGTTATAACATATGGTAAAAAAATGTAAAAAATAAATATCGATAAAATAAATATTTATTCACAAGTCAATAACGCAAATAAGTTATACAAAAAACAATGCTCGGGTTCTTATTTTCGTAGTATTAATTTTTATTACCTTTGAATGATTATTATATCATATATTATATTACGGTATTTTTTAATGAACTTTAATAATATTTTGACGTATAAATGAAATTTATAAAGAGATTATAACTCATAAGTAATAGAAAATACTACGGGAATATAAGCACATTAAGGCTTATAATGTGTTTTAAACTTATACCTGGTAAGACATTATATTTAATTTTATTAAGTATAATATAATGTGCCCATTGATTAGATATAAATTAAAATAGGGCACATTTAAAAAAAAAAAAAAAAATCGAGGAAAATACATTCAAAATGTGTACGATTCCTTTGAGTACCCAATATAACAATTATTTTTAAGATAGTCGTTGATCACCGAATCGTCTAAAGCTAGTAAATCAATAATGTTTAATAATTAATAGTTTTTTAATTAAAAATTCTAAAGATCAGAAAACGACTATATTATTATTTCGAGATTATACCTTTTTCAAAATAATAGTAAATTTTAAAAGTATATATGATATTAAGACTAATAAAATAACCATAATTTTGAAAGTGTTTTAAAAATTATGTTTTGGAATTCAAAGTTAAAGATAAAACCGAGTATTTTTATTTGTACTTATAAGAAATATTAACTTCAAAAAATGTAAAAATATATAAAATATTGATTATTCGATATTTGTAAATTAAAATTTTTTTCTAATGTACATTCTTAAAACATGCAATCACTAAAGTATTTATAAGTATATATTTTAAACGACATAAAGAATTTTGGTTCATAAATATTCATCAATTTAATTTTCTTAAGACATAACGTAAATTAATTGAAAATTCCAATTAAAACTTAAAAATATTTAAATTTTTATTAAGTTATATGAGTATTGTTTATGAAAAAACAATGTTTTCCGATAATACAATTAAATATTATTTTAAAAATAAGCTAGCAAATATGTCGAAGTAGTTAGAATCTGAATATACATTATATGTTGATGACTATGTTTCACGAACAAAATACAAAAACTTAAAAACCCCATATGTTTATGTTGTATTTTTGTTTTAAATATGATAAAAAAAATTACTTACATTTTCCAAACAAATATATGTTCGTTTAATTTTTATAATAGCTGAACGGTTTTAATAAACTATCATAATAAATTAATATAAACGTCATAACAATATCAATATAGATAATTTGAACCTTTCAATGTTCTGCTGAATGGTATTAATCCGATGGCTTATTAAGAATATACTCACGTATACGTTTAACTGTATAGTATAATAGTTATTTCAGTGTTCATCAAAAGGCAACCGTTCAAAATAACTCAATCTGTCATGAAATGATACAAATATAAATTAATAAAAATAATACCAGTGACAATCTTAAAATATTAGGTTAGTAAAAAGGTGTGGAAATCGTACTCTAGCCAAACACCATGTATTACAACAAATTTGCTTGTTACAAGTATTTTTTATAAATATTGCTAGTTTGCAAAATTTATTTTTTTCGTTTTTGAACGAGAATAAAGTTGTATAAAAGTTGACTTCTCGTCGAGAAAAAAAAAATATACGGATCAGTGATTTCTGTACTCTGTGTTGGACATTTGTTGAATTTGCTCTAATCAACTTCCAGCAGTGATTTATATGTTTCGACTATTGCTGGTTAAATAATTCAGCGAATGCATCGGAAACGTTTTGTACCACTACCATGCTTACAAATATAATTAATTATATTGGATTATCTGAAAGAAAAAAAATTAATTAAAACTTAAAATGTATAATTTATTTCGATTTGTATTATTTTTTATTCAGATCGCATTTTATCGAAAAATCACAAAGAACATTTTTACTTTTCTTCTATCATCAATCTCTCCGGTAAAATTTTGATTGCGTACTTACTATGGAACGTTATTTGATCATATATATTACTTTAAAATTATTTATCAAACAAATAAAACACAAAATGTATTGTAAAACCAATTAATAGCCTTTTACTCTGGTCATCAATTCAAAAAAAACTGAATTAGACACTTTTTGATTTAAGTACTTTTAAAAGTTGTCTTTTACAAGTTTTTTTCCATTCTAGTGAATAAATAAATTTCAATAATATATTATACACAAAAATATGTTTAATTGTATTTTACACATTTTATGTTATTACACATGTTTAATAATTACCAACAACATACATAATTTATCGACCACCTAAAAGTATATTCGGAAAAAACTGCCTTTTTAAGTATATTGCTTATATTGTGATTAATTGCATATCATATTTGAAATTTGAATAGGTACCTAATATAAAAGCACAAGAATTTATAATTGGTATACTATTTTAATAAATGTTTAAAACTTCATTTTTTTTCACCTTTGATTTTTATTGCACTGTGGACTTTAAAAAAAATGAATCTAAATAATATATTTTTTTCAATATAACACTCGTATTCATATTAATGCTGATTTTTTTCCCAAACATTTTTCAATATGATATTTCATACAAATTGAAATATAAACGCGTAAGATAGAACAATATTGAACATAATTGGATTTTATATTTAAATTAAAACAATTGGGTTAAAATAAATTTTAAATGTTATCGGTCCGATGACTTTATTATAGGGAAATAATCGAATAGGGACAAATGGACGTAAAAAAAATATATATATATATATATATATATATATATATATATATAAGTTATATAACCATTGATATTTTATGTTCATAATATAAATAATGGTATCTTATCATAATATCAAATCTTATCGAAATTTATGGATTTGGCAATAGGTACCTTTTATATCAATATATATAACTTATTGGTTTTTACATTTTGTAATATTTATCACACTTTATTGAAACACGGTGATACACGAGACACGACAATACACATCTATAACCATGTTAGTCGTGTACAAATTGCACTCAAGTATATATATATACGATGTCATTAATTAATTCAAATCGTGATGGTGAAGTTTTTTTGAATGAATATTTTTTGCATTAAAATTTACATATTATAATAAATATAAATAACTTATTTATTTTATTTAATGATTTATATATATATATATATATATATATATTTTTTTATTTGACGTCCATTTGTCCTAGATCGAAAATTAATAAACAGTAAAACTACCATAATGTCACTTTAATTAATCGAATAATTGAATAATATATTTTGTTATGCTGATGGTTTTTTAATTACATAGATAAATTTCAATGTAAGTATATGACTTTAATGAGTAATCATTTGTAATATTTTACATAAACTAAACAAATTTCAATAATAATTAAATAATAAATTGTTTAACATTCGTTTTCAGAATTACATATTTGCTTATTTATCATAGGTATGTGAAGAAAAATAAGTCGTAAGTATTTCATAAGTTATTATTTTTTATTATCGGATGCAGAAAATTAAAAAAAAAAAAAATTGTATATAATATTTCAGCTTTTATTTTGATTCATTAAACGTAATACTGAAATACCGCTCTGAGGAGAAACATCTAAATGAAAAAACATTAAAGAAGAGAACCGTTTGAAGATATTATTGAGAGAGTGTAATTAGAGAGTGAAATAATATTCTCTAAAAATAGTCAATATAAGATGCTGTTATTTTTTTAAAAAGTTAAGAATATTTTTCCAATATTCTTTAAAAATCATAATAAAATATGCAAAAAATATGTTTTTATATGCAAACTAATACAGTACACAATACGAAAAACCCGATATAAAAATTAGTGTATACAAATTGAGTTCTAAAAAACAAACTGATTGTCTGCATCCGAATCGTGTAAACGAAATTTTCGTGATAGTTTAGAAATGTATGCGTTAAAGTTTGAACAGACGATTAGATTTCGCCAATCATCTTTGTTTATAGTTTATACTACAGTAAAATATTTATGATGTAAATTCAATGTATAGTCAGTATTGTAGTAAATAGGATTCTTTAGAGAGTGGCTGGCGATTAGATATGATTGTAATTTGATAAGTACCTATTTGAAACTAATATACAAAATAGTTCGACGTTTGATAATCGTCAAATATTTTTGTTTGATGTCAAACCATCACTCGTGCCTTAATAATCCATATACAATTTGTAATCTTCACATTAATTAGTTTGAATTCAGAAAAACTAGTCGGTAAAAAAAACGGCAGAGTTATAAACAGTGAGAAAAGCAAAAAAAAACTGTATTTAATTGGTGGCTATAAATTTAATTTTAATATGTTTTTAAATAAAAATATTCAAAGATGAGCATACACAAAACGTATGTGTAGATCTTCTTTTGAATTAAGTTAAAATAATACAATTATTATTAATGTTATAAATCATAAACATGAAAAATATGATGTAAATATTTTAACTTGACAAAACTTAAGTGATAAACTAAAACGTAAAGCTTTGAATGATCTGTGTGAAAAGCAGTGTAAGATTTTACACTAAGAATTACATGAAGGGGACATAAGTACTCTGACTACTATAGACAAAACGTGTAGAAGAACAAATATTTACTATACATGTTCAAGTTTGAAGCCAAAGTTACTCACAAGTTTAGATTAACTACATTTGGCTTAAACAATTTTAGGTGAAATTAAAATAAATTGAGATAAAATTTTTCATTGCTTATTAATGATTCAAAAAAAATATTATTGCATTTTCAATACAGGGTCCGCTAGAGCAAACTCATGCTTTTAAATATGATAGTACGTCAAAAGTAATTTCTGTAAAGAAAAATGTATTATATCAACAAATTTTCCAAACCATTTTACTAATTATTCATTATTCATGGAGCTAAAGATGGAAATTACGAGTATACACCATTAATATTTTTTTACTAACAGGCAAAACTATATACATTTAAAAAGATGCAGTTTTCAATTTATTAGGCATAATGGATGAATTGAATTTGATTTTATTTAACACGTAATTTACACTGATTTCGAACAACCTATATACTTGGAAATTTCGGGGATTTTTTCTGAAGTAGTTCATAAAGGCTGTCATTTTCACTTGAGTCAAACTATGTAGAAAAAAATCCAATCACTTGGATTAAGTATGAATTAAAAAAAAAAAAAATCATAAATTTGAAAATGTTTAAAATAATTTTTTCATATTATATTTTTTAAATCCTGGAAAATTAATAAATGTTTTTCTGCAGATCTCGTGGCTATAAAACCAGATAATCAGCAATTACAGGATTTTCAGGACTTTTTTCAAAAAATTATATTTTCAAAGCCGTAAATTTCCACCTTCAATATGGACCGAAATTTCAACAGTTAATAATATGTTCTAATCTTCGTATTTAAATATTTTTAAATTTATAAAAAGTTTGAAAAATGTACAAACTGACGTTTACATCAAAAGCGTAAATATAATCAGACAGAAAAACATTGTATGGCTTTGTATAGCCGTGGAAAAATATGATTATATCCATAAAATCATACGTTAGTATGAAGATATATATATGGTTATAACTAGAAGTCACGATTATACGTGTATTGAACTACATGGGCACTCGTGTTTTTATCCAAGACGGGGTTAAGTCCAATATATACAAATACCTGTGTATAGTAATATATTTGAATACTCGTGAGCTTGAATACTCATATATTTGAATTTAATAATAAGTTATTGAAGAATTTTTAAATCGTCAAAAATGTTTAGATACAAAACATACATACAATTAACGAATGCATTTTATTAATCTTTAAACATAATTAATAATTATTCATATCATATTTAAATAATAAAAGGTAGGTACGTATTTAAGAGCTAGACAATTTGTATTATTAATTAATAATAAATTAATAATTATTGGAATATACATAATATTATATTATTATGCATATTAATATTTAATGTATACATGAATTCTGAATTGATATGCAATATACATGGATAATATATATTTTAATATATTTTATATATATTAATAATATATTTTAATATATAAATATATATTAATATATATTTAATATATATATTTTTTATATATTTTTTAATATATTTAATATATTAATATATTTTTTGCCCGCGTGCCCGGACTCCGTGTACTCGTGTATTCTTATAAACGTTCATAACTATGACCTCTAGTTTGGAGGTTGTATTGACTTACAAAAACTTGCCAGTTTAATTTTTATAATTTAATTTTACTTAATTTTTGTTTACAATTTAAATTTGCAATCTTATATTTTTTTAACACTCGATTATTTTTATGATAAATGGTTTTTTTTAATCAAATTGTATAATGAATTTATTATAATTTTTATATTTTTTTGAAACAATTAAAAAGTGTATATTTAATTTTTTTTTAAATCGAACTATAAAATGAAAAAAAAAATGAGTATATTATAATTGTGTGTGTTTTTTATAGATAATAAATTATAAATAAATAAATAATCACTCACGCAATTCGACTCCGTTGCTAGAAAACCATACACGCAATTCAACATAGATAATGATTTTGGCACGCGATTCTAAATACACAGATAAATAGGTATAACATAAAAAATAATACAGTTTAAAAAAATTTAATTTTGGTAATATTTTATTTATTTAATTAAATTAAATTAATGACGTATTTTTAATTCAGTCAATTTTTGGAAAATATTGACAACAATATTTTATTCCATGTGCTCTGGTATCATATCTGTACGACAGTCCGTAAACAAATTTTTATATGTACTTAAAGAACGTTTGACGTCATTTGAAGTCACAGGCAAAATCTGTTTATATTATAGCCGTTGAAAAATTATTTACTATTTATACTTTATCATAACCATTTAAAACATTTGCTACGTTTCTCAATATTCGATATCACTATTATTAAATATATCATTTATTTATTAGCGCCACTACAACAAAAAAATACCGAAAATCTATACAATAATTGTATTATTATCATAATAAATTATTGATGGATATATTTTTTAATATTTTTTACAATACAAAATATAATTTTATCTTGAAATATTCTCAAATATGTAAAAAAAAAAAAACTTAATTAATTTACACGTTTCGTAATTTGTAAATTTTTCGAATCTCCATAGTGAAAAAAAATATGCATAAGAATATAATTCTATTTTCTAAATATTTTTAATATATTGTAAATTAACTATGAAATTTTTTTTTTTTTTAACTCTATTGATGAAAATAACAAAAATATAAGAATAGTATTATTTTTTATTTTCTTGTTTTCACTGATCTACGACGTTAATTATTAAACAATTAATTAGTGTATAATATATATACTCGTATATACTCGTACTTTGACATGACAACTGATAGTAAAAACATACGAGTAATTTAAAAGTATTGATATAACTGTAGTACATATATATTCCCATACATAAAATAATTTTCTAATAATTTTATATTCTAATCAAAAAAAAATTCTTTATAATATTTTTTTCGTATCACTGTCTCAGAGGGTATTAAATAGATTCAAACCCTTTGATCTACGTAAATGTGTCAAATGCATCATTTTCACTTGCTCAATAATTGATATGTATTTTATTTAAAATATAGTGTAAAAAAATATCGTTGATTAAAAATTAAAAAATGTATAATAAATCATGTTAAATTATTTAGTAAATCATACTGCTATATAAGCAATTATTATTATTATTATTATTATTATTATTATTATATTATAATCAACGCCAAACGGCTTTTACAAAATTAACAGACAGGAAGTACATAGATAACAGATAAAAACATATAACAACAAATGCGATGCATACCTAATACCAACTTTAATATGAGATAGAGGAAAAAGAAAATAGTAAGTAAATAAATAAACAAATATGGTGTAAATTATATGAAACAAGATGTGAGCCTTCGTACTAAATATGGTTTAATAGTCTATATGATTATTTGCAATATGCATCATCCTTAAAAGTGGGGTATTCCTGGAGAAGTTAGATTTATTGGTGGGTATATAAAAAGTACATTGAAGCATAGTATTACAAGGAATACGAAAACTAAGTTCTCCAAGAAGCCTTGGGCCATCAACTTTACCTTCGATCAAACACTGAATAAAAGTGATACCAAAATTATCACGCCTAACAGAAAAGAGAATAAGTCTCAGAGCTTGACTTACAGGCCCATAATCATGTGGTAGATGAGAAATGTTGAGGTAATAACCGGCAAAACGCATGAAACTATTTTGTACACGATCGATTCAACTAATGTCGACTGCGGTATATGGTGACTAAACAATGGACCCATATTCAATAACCGAATGGACTAATGTGCTATAGAGAACTAGAAGGCAATTGGCAGAACTAAAGTTGGTTGAGTGACGTCTTATAAATCTCAAAACACGAAAAGCTTTGCAGGTTATATAATCAATGTAAGGACTGAAATTAAGGGAAGATACGAGTACAAATAAAATGCCTAAATCATGGACCTGGCTAACACGTTGAATAGCTATACCATCAAGTCTATAGTCATAAGATATTACTGAATTAAAGCGATAGAAAGTCATAACTTTGCATTTAGAGATGTTGAGAGATAAATTAAACGTATTACATAAATTAGTAAACTTATCAAGAGTTTTCTGGAGAGTCAGGCAATCATTATTTAAGGTAATCATGTGAAAAATTTTAGAATCATAGGCAAAAAGTAGAAGACGACAAGGAGAAACAACTGAACACATAGTGTTAATGAAAATATTAAATAATAAGGGACCTAAATGGCTACCTTGTGGAACTCCGGACGATGCTCGGAAGAGATCAGATGATTTCCTGAAGAGTCTGATAAATTGTCGACGTTCACTAAGATAGAAACTAAACCATGATAAAAGTGGCTCACTAACACCAAGTCTGTCGAGGATATAAATAAGTGCATTACGATCTATAGAGTCGAACGCTTTAGAAAAATCCGTATATATCACATCAACTAGATTACCTAATTCAAACGCCGCGTGAAGGTAAAATACAAAAACTACATGACTAATCGCAGTCGAGCGACCTAGAAAGAACCAATGTTAGTCAATTGGTGGTGAAGGTGGTTAAGAAAGAACGCTCGATTCGTTTCAGTACTATATATTCAAACAGTTTACCTAGGAGAGAAAGGCCAGAGATGGGTCTGTAGTTAGTAACATCAGCCGGATTCCCAGACTTGAAAATTGGCGTAACTCAACTTATTTTCCACACAGAGGGGAAAACCCCTTCTGTAAGTGACTGATTAAAAATTAAAGTAACTGGTAGACTGAGAGAGGCACGGCAGTGATATAATAGATTGACAGAAATGCCATCTGGGCCTGAACCACGAGCATTTAATAGAGAATTGAGCGCTGCATTAATTTCATCAGTTAATATAGATAATTTAAAAGGAAGGTGTGAAAATAGGTTGTTTGTAAACTCATCGGATAAATCATTGGAGGTAAATCGTGGGTCACTATAAACAGATGAGAAGTGAGAGTCAAACAAAGAAGCAAATTGATCACTAGAGGCCTTAGACTCACCAAGATGAACTTCATCTGGTATTGTAGAGACACCACGTTTACTTCGAATGAATTCCCAAAATGATTTAGGATTTACACATAAACGATCCTGAATGTTATGCAAGTAGTGACTATAGAGACGCTTCGATTCAAATTTACATTGTGCGCGCAGTTGAGAGAAGATTGAATAACGATTATGATCACCTAACATTTTATACTGTTAGGTGATCATAAACACATTTTATATTGTTTATGCGATAGGTTTTTCTTAAGAAGAAGTTTCTTTAGCCTACTTGAAACCCATATAGGAAAAGTAGAGTTTCGAAAGTTTCTTAAAGGAACGTATTAACGAATACAGACAAGCAGTGATTTCTGTAAGAAATCAGCAGAATGATCTACAGATCCTGAATCTATGGCGTTACCCCAATCAATACTCTCTAGTCCAGTGTTTCTCAATTTTTTTTATGTTACCGCCCCCTTGAGTAGGAATCAATTCTTTAACGCCTCCATATGTGAAAATTATATAATTAATGGTATGGGCTGAAAGATAGGAAATAAGTTAATGATTTGGAAAATTTGAAAAAAAATTTGAATAATTATCTCATAACTAATGTTTTCATTTATGTTTTATTTTTTATATTTTTTTAATTATAATACTATTAAATTAATTAAACATTTGAAAAAAAAACTTAATAATTTATCAATTTTATTTTGTAGTAATAAATACATTTTTTAGTTTATTTAGAAAAAATATTACTTTTAAAAAAAATTTTAAAATCAAATAAAAAATATTGCTTGTATTGTTTTTGTAGATATTTACCCATGTATTTTTGTAGTAATTTTTTTTAAAAAACACGTTTTTAACAGATTGAATATTACGAGTATAATAACGAAAACTAATACAACATGCGCGGATCAAATCAAACGATTTACTAAAAGTATGGTTAATATAGGTGTCGTATACGCCACGCAAAGGCTTGGCGTATAACAACACGAAACGAGGTATTATTGGTTATTGGACACTCTAACTGTCAAACAAGCAAGTAAAGGAAAACTTAATAATTGACCCGGAAGACTATCTTCTTAAGTGACAAAGAACACAATCTAGCACTGCTTAATAGGATAGTCGAAAAACAGGTTTTTTAAAAGGTTTACTTTCCTTTAATAGCTCTAAAGTTATTTTACACTCGAAACAACTGACAAAGAACAAGATCTAGCACTGGATGTCTCGAGCGTGAGGTAACCTCTACCTAACTATATTGTTCTCTCCCCTCAAACTGACAAAGAATTATGATCTAGCACTGGATTGAGGTTTGAAATGCAATATAATTTTATTTACCCCTTTCGTTAGTTTGCCAACTCTCTCAAAACTTACACGAGTACGTAAGGTAGAAAAAATAATAATATAAAAACTTTTTATTTTAAAACAAACGAAAAAATATTTATTAACCACAAAAAACAAAATAATTACCGGTCACTCGCAAAACGGGCAGCGTTTCGTTCTCCACGTCGATGGTAGTAGAACGAACCCCTCTTTCGTCTTGCGGGCGGCGTTTTATGCTATTCTAATCTATATTGTCAGCATTTTGTGAAGGTGGTGTGTGTTTGCTGACAATATATTAATTTTTATTAAATTTAATATATGTGTTAGGTGATGATACAACATAGGTAACTATAATAAAATATAATAAAATACAATGTCCATGCACAATCACTAAAATAATAAAGATAATAAATTTATCAACAATGAAAGATATGTTGTTGTGCATTGCTCAACATATAGTACCTATTAGTAACTAATAGTTATTATAAGGATTATCAAATATGAATTATTTTTAGGTCACACCATGTACAACGTTTTTATGTGAACACGCTTACCGCCCCTCTACCATCCAAAACTAGTTCACCACCCCCCTACCACCCAAAAATAGTTCAATGCCCCCAGTGATACTTCACCGCCCACTGGGGGGCGATATCGTCCCGTTGAGAACCACTGCTCTAGTCTCTGAATAATCCTCTTATAGTTAGCATTTTTTAAATCGTAATATGTATGTTGTGTGTCAAGCATAGGAAAGGCTGAAGGAAAGGGACAGAATATGGACAGAGCTGGGTGGCAAATGTCACATGGAACTAATATAGCTGTAGCTTGCTGGACATGGGTGGATTCATTGTGAGTGAAAATTAAGTCAAAAAGAGACCCAGTGTTATTAAGAATTTGGTTCTTCTGGACGAAGTGAAGGAGACTAAAACGATCTCCAACAACACGGGCCTTATCAGTTATACCACCTGTATAGACGAGACCCGAATCACAAACGGACCAATTAATATTGGGTATATTAAAGTCACCAAATACGAAACTAAGATCAAAATCGTATGATCTCCAGACCCGATCAAGAGCCTCGACATGACACTCATACACAAATTTGTAGCAGGAGGTAAATATACTCCTGCTAAAATGACAGAGAGGCCATTGGCTAAAGTGAAGTAAACAAAAACTTGCTGACAAGTATCATAAGGAGTCGTAATTAAGATTGGTCTTAGCTCTGAGCAATCCAAAATTGTTACATGTTAATGCTTTTTAAGACAACATTTAAGATTTCTTCGATCATATACGTAACAATTGATATTATCTTACATAAATTCAAATAATACTTTAAATATGTACAAAATGCGTAATATTTGTTTCGGTAATGATCATATATGTTGAATTTTATTTTGAGATTATAAATTATTGATTAAAAACAGGAATTTAATACGATCAAATAAATGCTGATATTAAGTTTCTTGAATTATTCTTTTTTCATGAATCGAATTCAAACACTTGAACGATGAAAATATATTATACGTAAAAAAAACTGAGATAAAAAAATTATTAAAATGACATAACAGCTAAATCTGTTTGATGCAATTAATTGGACAAAATTAATTAAACAAATACAATAGATATTAATAAATAACTTATTAAGATTTACCTTTGTTAGCAGGTGGTTATTATAAAGAAATTATTTTATATATTAGGTATGAAATTAAAAAAAATGGGATTAATAAAACAAAAACCACATCCAATAGGAAATATTGATACCAAGTTGAATTATAAATAAGGGATCTCAAATGTGGTGCTCCATTGTGACGAATAACATATTCTGTCCAATAAATCACTGATTGTTGTGGTGACATCGGTCGGTCTTTGAATCGAATAGATGCGATTTTTGCATTCTTCGTGTATCTAAATAATACATTAATATAAATAAATAAACAAATATATTTAAACTAATACTTACTTTTCATCAGTGATGAGTTCTAAAAAAGCATTTAATAATGATTTTTTAGATACTGAAAATAGGTCCATAGATATAGCCATTTCAGCACTGACTAAATTATCTATATTCCTTAGCTGGTCATAAAACAAGGGAAACCCAAGAACTGGAACACCAGCGTCAAGTGCTTCGTAGACTCCGGATATACCACCATGACTTATAAATAATTTTATTTTTGGGTGTACTGAAAAGTTTAAAATTACTTTAAATTTTAATTAGAAAAGTGTACATACATAATATATCACGCTGTGGAAACCATTTTTTTATCATCACATTTTCTGGTAGATCCTCCATTTCATCTTCGTACTTCCACAATACTCTTTGAGGAACGTTTGCTAGTGCTTCTTTGAATGCTTTTATAATGTGGTGTGGTAATGAAGAGATTTTGAATACTGAACCAAACGTGAAGTATATAACTCCATGCGAAGATTCTTCAATAAATTCTAAGATATCCTAAAATATTGAAATTTGTTTTGTGAGAAAAAATATTAGATAATTATTAATAATTTAAGGTCTATACTATTAAAATACTTTCTAATATTTTAATAGTCTTTCAATTGAAATAAATATAAATATTTTTTCTTATTTGTTTTTAATAAAATTTTGATTTGTTTGAAGTTTCAAATAAATACCAGATAATAGCAGACTTTTTTCGTTGCATTATACTATATTTTTCTGGTATTAAAATGAAGATCGAAAATAAAGTTTTTTTTTCAAACATTAAAATATAGATGATTATTTATTTTGTTTATTTAATAAACTCCTACCATTATTCTTTTCTAAACAATATATATTAAAATATTACCAATTCTGGTATGTCTTAAGTTGATAAAATATATATTAACTTACAAATAGGTCCGTTACATTAGCACCACCATATTCAAAATTTTTAAAAAAAATATATACCAACAATTGTTATTTCATTTGTACACATTTGTAATCCTGATATAAATATTTGTACACCTCCCCAAATGCCCCAAAAAACCAAATTTCCACGGTGGTGCTAATGTAACGTTACATCAGCACCCCACTTTTTGTACAGTAGACTTATGGCTTCCAAAATGGTACCAACAATTGTTATTTCATTTGTACACATTTGTAATCCTGATATAAACATTTGTACATCTCCCCAAATGCCCTAAAAAACCAAATTTCCGTGGTGGTGCTAATGTAACGTTACATCAGTACCCCACTTTTTGTACAGTAGACTTATGGCTTCCAAAATGGTACCAACGATTGTTATTTCATTTGTACACATTTGTTATCCTGGTATAAACATTTGTACTCCTCCCCAAATGCCACAAAAATTAATTTGTAAACAATAATAAAATTTGTATTAGAAAAAATTTCAATGTTTCACGTCTTTGTGAAATATTACATGCTTTAAACATTAAACAAGAGTCATAAATTTTAGATTTATCAGTGTGATATTTTAACTGTAAGCTATACAATTTTCTTGTCATATATTGTAATTGTTGAGCTATCATAGTTTTATATTAGTAAAATAAAAAAAAAATCTCAACTACGATAATATCTATGAATTCTATTTCTTATCTTAAAATCTTTTAGAGCTTAGTGCTTAGGGGAATTTAATTATAGTTATTCTAAAAAAAAAAGCGTCTGGAAGGGATATATCCCCATATCCCCCCCATAATTACGCCATTGTACTTGTCTATGAAATATACTCCCGCCCACGAGAGAATCGCATACCTCGAAATAGTTTATATATCTATTGTCGCGAGTGCCGCTTGCTTTATTTTCTCCCAGCATAGTTTCATCCCTACTACTGATTGACGTGTAGGAATACAGGGTAAAGAAACACATATAAAATACATTGCGTCATCGCGTTGGTTATATTGTGTACCTAATACCTATATATTATAATATGATGTACGGTATTTTTTGTTATGAACATAATAGATGTTTAAAAATATTCGTAAAAAATACGTTATAACGTAGAAAATATTTCAAAACAAATAGTGAAGTTGTTGTAACTGCTACTACACTTATACCTATATGAATGACCAATATGACTTGGTATATTGAGGAGTGACGGATGCGCAGCGACTGACGTGGTTTTATTGTCGTCATGTCATGGGTGGGAGTACATACATGTTTTTGGTGTCGGAAACATTGAGTTACGTGGGGCCAGAGTTGGACTAGCTTTATAGCTCAGCCCGGGCAAAATAATTTCGAACGGCCTCAATGGAACTTTATAAGTAGATAGGTACTTGATCAAATTATTGTTTAACTGAAAATGTATCTTCGTAACTCAAAAAACAATACTCACACAAGTACATATGTATATTTTCAGATTTAATGTAATACCTTAAATAAATCTAGTTACGCATAATATATCTTATCTATAATATTGATATAATGACCTACCTATTGAGATAAATTTTACACAATAAAAAATGATTTTATTTAAATATGTTTATGTAGACTTATGGCCTCCAAAATGGTACCAACGATTTGAAAATACATTTATTTTATAAATAATTTTGTACTTAAATTATTATAAAGTATAAACTAAAAATTCTACATCTGTTTTAACTGATGTTTTTGACGGTTTGACTTTGAGCTTCGTGTCATCGTATGTTTCCCATTGACCATTTTTTCTTAGTGTGCTAGCTGTGTAATGTCCAGTACTTGAACGAAGACCACTTCTTTCTCCACCGAAAAAATTGATTACACCTCTGAGATGGTATATTTTATTATTTACCTTTAACAACTTTTCAATATCATCTAATTTTTTCATATTTGGTTGTGCAAAGTTTTGTTTTATCAAATCCATTTGTACATGTTCAATGTTTCCGGTACTCGTTGATGCTTCTAATCCTACAAAAAAAAAAAAAAAAATTATCATAATTTATTTTATTTTAGGTTATAATATAATAAATAATATTATTTACCTAAAGGTACATAATTAATTTCAATTAATATGTGTGTGGTTTGTCTCGACTTTGAAATTCTCAAAGATCGACAGTATGTACATTCTTTTTCATTGTCTTTAGTGTAATCATCCAGTTCATTCTGGATTGAATACTTTTCATTGTATTTATTTACAGAAAACTTTATTGAGTTGTAATCATATCATTGATTAGAACAAAAATTATTAGTACATTCACTTGTTGTTATAAATGATGGCATGTCTGCCATTATTTTGTCAACTATAGATGCCACAGTGGCCGTCATATTTATTGTTTTTAGACCACCAATTAAACATTCTACTTTATCTGAAAAAAACTGTAACAATAATAGTAAACGGTCATGGTATATTCTTTTATTATCACTTTCACAGAACATTTTTTTTATAATTGTTGCAGTCAAGTTGGTTGCTGATACACTTTGAACATAATTTCTAAATTCCAAACTGTCAGCAGCTGATGAAGCTAAAATTGATAAAATAGAATCCACAGAGCACGTGTTATTCAAAATCATTTTCCCAAAATTGGGTACATAAATGGGTCGCATCATACTATTTCCATTTTTAAAAAAAAATATGGGTTTAATGAACGCTTTCATGTTAAAATCAATCAATTCAAAACCTGGTTGTGGACTTATGTATGAATGAGCTGATCTTAATTTTTTTGTTGCTTGTCCTTTTTTATTTCATCCTTCACATGCAACTTTTTCATCATTCATAGATTTTTTTTTATCGCAATCGAAGCATATTCGTTTTTCTCCACATCCTTCTTCAGTTCCCGGGATCAAAGATGAACATCCAAATAACATGTGAACTGACTTTTTACAACATATACATTTATGCAGTCCCGTTGGGTAGTCCTCTTTTATACAAGCTTCACAATGTACTTGATTTGAAATAGTTTTACTGTGTTTGGTTCTCTTAACGATTTGAATGATTTAATCATTCACTTTTCTGAGTATATATGTTCCATTCTGTTTATCTTCTGCACTCTGTGTATTCTTTTCTCTCGTGTCAACTTCTTCGCTTGATTTATCTTCGTCACTGTGTATATCTTTTTCGTAATTTTTATCTTCCAATATTAATCTAGCATTAGTTTCTTCCAATTCATCAATAAATGTTTTACATACGTTAGTTTTATCTAAAGGTATATATTCCGACAAAGGTCTTTTTTGACGTTCTATGTATTTTGCTTGAACCAATAAGTGATCGCCTCTATAGTAGGATATTAGTTTTTCCAAAAACGTGTCGATCCTTAAAGGCAAATTTTCATTTTTAAAAATTCTATTTTTAATATGTTTGAAATTACATTCGATTCTACTGCTAGACGTAGTTTCTGAGCCGAATCCAAACTTTTCCCGCATTATACCCGACCAGCATGGAAATAATTTCATAGCCTTTACAATACATGGCTCTAGAGTTGGTAAGTACTGTGCATTATCTACGACACCAATTACGTTTTCCACTTTTTCTCTGGCTTTATCAGATATTTGTTGGGCCCAATGTTTAAAATTAGCTATAGGTATATATAACTCATTGTCGTCTAAATGTATGTCTTGTTCAGGGTTTTGAAGCTCTGTATTTGATTGTTCTAAAATGTCTAATTGATTCTTGTTACATGATATTAATTTGGCCAGATACATTTTCTTTTCAGCACAAGGTGTTCTTCTAAACTTATTACATTCAGTGTGGTCTCTGTCAGATGGCAAAACTTCTCCATCATATTTTCTGAGAATAATTATAAAAATCGCTTCTAAAATGTGTTGTGCTTCATCAATTGTTGTACTAAGAACAAGAAGACCAATCCCACGGGTAATTAATAATTAATTCTTTAGTACGATTAAATTTAGGTGAGAGTATATTTCATAGACAAGTACAATGGCGTAATTATGGGGGGGGATATGGGGATATATCCCTTCCAGACGCTTTTTTTTTAGAATAACTATAATTAAATTCCCCTAAGCACTAAGCTCTAAAAGATTTTAATATAAAAAATAGAATTCATAGATATTATCGTAGTTGAGATTTTTATTTTATTTTACTAATATAAAACTATGATAGCTCAACAATTACAATATATGACAAGAAAATTTTATAGCTTACAGTTAAAATATCACACTGATAAATCTAAAATTTATAACTCTTGCTTAGTGTTTAAAGCATGCAATATTTCACAAAGACGTGAAACATTGAAATTTTTTCTAATACAAATTTTATTATTGTTTACAAATTAATTTTTGAGTCATTTGGGGAGGTGTACAAATGTTTATATCAGGATTACAAATGTGTACAAATGAAATAAGAATCGTTGGTACTATTTTGGAAGCCATAAGTCTACTGTACAAAAAGTGGGGTGCTGATGTAAGGTTACATTAGCATAGGGTTGCCATACGTCCCGGTTTTACCGGGACACTACCGGTATTTAACCGAGTGTTCCGGTGTCTCGAGAAAGTGTTTCGGGACAGCGATTTGTCCCGGTTTCAAAATTTTACTCAAGAAAATATCAAGAAAATTCAAAACAAAAGAAAGGATCGGTTTTTCACGGTAGAAACTGAAAATCTCGTAACAAAACTTGAGGACGAGGAATTATCAATAAAACTAATTTTGAAAGTTGATTTGATGAATTTGATTTACTTTGTTACAACTATTTAAAAAAATAGAACAATTAAAATCAACATGTAATTAATTTAAAATCAATGTTATGAATAACATTAGCCCCAAAGATAATAGTGAATTGGGAAAATGTCAAAAAATCAGTAATCTTTATAAAAGCTATAATGTCAAACAATCTTAATTTTGATGAATAAATGTTTTTCGAACAATTCAAAATGTTACGAAGTTACGACAGATACAGTAGTGGCTCACCACAGCACAACACTATATATTATGTATAAAGAATACCTAAATAGACGCAGATTTGTATAATGAATTTATTCTTCCGTGAAATTGGTTTAAATTGTTTATAAATGTATAGTAATTGAATAAACTATTAAAATAGTTAACGATAATGCAACAGTGGTAAATACAGCTGACCGAACTATTGAATTCTAATAATACTGATGATCTGAATTATCGATACTACTGTAGCAGACGAAGTTCAAAATGAAATATAAAACTGTAACAAAACATAACGTTTCTTTAATAGCGAACGTTGTTTTATGTCCGGCATGAAATTATTGATACTAAAAATGTGATAATTATCAACCAGGGTCGTATAATCACAGAGGTGCGCAAAAGTGATAATCATATGTAGTGTACGGCAATGCAAAAATATTAGATTAATTTCAATCTAATAATAATAATATAAACAATGATAGTATTGATTCACGTACGATTAATTGAGAACGAGTGGCCGGGAAACAGCTAAAGAGTGGTCGCTGCCGCACAACGTCATTATACATATCGTTGACATAATGTAATAACAGTTTAATATTTAATATTAACTAAATAAATTCATATTAATTTTTAAAAAAACTTATAGCGTATGAAATTAAAAATAAATCACATCTCACCGAATAATTTTGTTGTTGTTATTATATATCGCAAACATAATAACACTCCAGACTAAGCATTTTATTATTTACATAAACAATTTATTTATATATTACTTTGCGAGTATTAACCATTTACTAATTTTTATTTCATTTTTTTATTATTTTATTAATAATTGTTTATTGTTGCACATAAAACGATCGGTGTCGATTTAGAGTTTTAATGGTACCTAACTTACTTTTGGAATTTTTCCGGCCGGTTTCAAGTGAATACCTCCGACATCTATAAGGTTGGTCGGAACTGGTCTCGGAGCTTCAGTTCCGTAATAACTGTTCTGAAAGATAACGGACGGTGGAACGGAAGGAGACGAATCGTACGGTTTAGGATCGGTGATCCTCTGCAGCCAATTTTCGTATTCATACGCCGCGGTGCTGTACACCGTGGTAAAAGTGTTCGTCAACCTCTGGACAAACGTTCTGGGCACGGAATGATGGGCAATCAAATTGGAAATGCACGCGGGATTCGACGCGTGCCCAGTGAAACGGCGTTCGGCGAACGTGAGCATTGACGACGAGATGGAGTACACGACGGGCAAGTTGAGCGTGTGGGCCACGTGCGACACGCAATCGGCAGCTGAAGGGTCCGCAATGACGACGTCGAATTTCGCGGTCCCGGCGTCATGGTCACGCAGTATCCCTTCGAATCGTCGGTGACGGAGAATCCCGTCGCAATTGTGCCGGATGATCGCCACGTTGGTGCTCATCAGTGCGAAATCCTTCAAAACCCGTTCGGCCGTCACGCCCACATGAACCTTTACCTGTCCGGACGTGTCTATCTCGGTGTAGTTGGCCCGCGGACCGTCCGGAAACGGTGTGAACGCGACGACTTCGTGCCCGGCGTCCGTCAACGACCGCAACAGTCCGCTCATAAAGTTCCAGTGACTCTTTCCGCCTCTCGTCTCCACGGCCAACACGCGAACGTTTTCAACGGGTACCGCGCCGAGAATTGCGAACGCGACAATCACTGTCACCGCGCGAATCATCGTCAAAACGCGCGACGCGATCTTATTGTCCGTTCGCTGTTTTCACCAAAAGCGTTGACAAACCGCTTGTACCTTTCCGATTGAAACGTACATGAGATAACCATGTGACAACGCGAATGTAATTTTTATTGAAACGTGTAATTTTTAACCGCGACCACGATTAACATATCGTTCGATCTGTCTACGCACTAGTGCCCAACAGAAATACGATTTTATATTGGCTCGAGTTAAACAATGATTCACTTACAATTACGATTGTAATTTTACGATTCACTTTTCTGGTTTACATCAATTGTAGAGAATTGATAAGTGCTAACCACTGAGTACAGCTGTATCACAATCAACGGTTCGTCTATTTTTGTTTATCGCTACCTCCCGATCCACACGTTAATTACACACGATACACTTCTTCATTTTCATAATTATTTTTCATTCTCCATGAGTGTTGTGAACGATGTAATTAAAAACTTCTATGTAAGTGTTATTTTTGTTTCTACGTTCATGTTTGTGTAGTATCACGTGATGTATGTATTTTTATAGATTGTATTAATTAAGTATATTGTTTGTAGATTATATAATAGTTAAAACAACCTTGTTATAGATTAATCGCATTACGCAATTGATTTAATTATATTACATTGTATATTGTATATTATATTATATTACATTCTTTCTATTTCTCAAGTACAAAATCATATTAAGTTGTAATGGAAAATATTCAAATCATGATGCTTCTACTGTCAATAACTATTTTTAATGTGTTTAAAGCCGACGACGTTGCGTGTAGTCGACAGTCAATTTTGGGCCACTAACCGATGAGATAACGTAACTAAATAACACATGCCTCATTTAAAATACCTGCGGGAATGTAAATTTTGTTTTAGTCTTCAAGTTAACGGTCAATTACTCAAGTGCACTACTTTATTAATTCTACAGCAAAATTAATTGTTCCTTTGGTACAATTAGTGTCCTATTGAATCTTAATGTAATACCTAATACCAACCATGTTGTGTGATATATTATGCTACCGTTTTTCCACAATAAATTTAAAACTTCAATCGATATTTATATTTAACTAGAAGACAAAAAACAACAATTAACGTAAAATTAAAAAATAAGAATTTACGACATTCCTGCAATTTCTTTCTAAATTTGATAAATGTTTACCAAAATTCTTACATAATATGATCTATTTCCCATTTAATGTTTTCTTATTTGATCTCTTAAAATCTATGATTTGTATAGACGTTGATATTATTGCCATGGTCAAAGCTTTCTTTAAATTTTATAGTTGGGTGACCGCCATCACGGCTTCCTGATGCATTGCTATTTGTCATATTCAACAAATATAAATTAGTGTTAATTATACAATGTAGCAATATAAATATCATTTAAAATATCTCTTTTAGTAACATGTTTACTCGGTTATAAATCAATAATTATATACGAAATACCTATAAAAAGTATTTCCATAAATGGAATTAATATTCAAAAACATAATACCTATTAAAAAATGTAATAGCCATTTAACTCTTAAATGCATCAATATAGTTTTGTACATCATCGCATTTGTTGATTTTTAAAACTTTTAAAATATAATTAAAGGAAATATTTTCTTAATCCTGATTAATAGTTTTAGTCTGACTATATTATAATTAAGCTATTATATTATAGCTATTTTATATATATATATATATATATATATTTATAGCTATATTATTAGCTATTTTATAATACACTCATGAAGGTCTTCAACTATTTTAATAGAAAATACATGATCAAAAAAACAGTTGACCATTTTACAATTAAAAAATGTTTTTTCAGAAACAAGGTATAGGTAAGCAATTTAATTTATCGTCTGATAACAGAAGCACGAGCATGATCAAATAAAGTTACGTGATTATTTCCACTA